GGCCCCTGCCCCTGTCCGGTGCCTTCCCGGCGCCGGGCTGCGCGCTCCGAGGGGGCGAGGGGTGGCAGCCGGCGGGGTCTTCCCTGCAGAGCCGCTCTGGGGCAGGCAGCCAGCAGAGCTGACGCCCTTCGGACGCTGCCTGGCTCGGGGCCAGGAATGCTAAAATTGTGGTGCCGGGGGAGCCTAGGTGGGAGCAGCCCTTTCGAGCCTCTGTCCTCGCCTGCACGTCCCCGGGGCTCCGCGACGGTGGCGGGGGTGGTTCTGGGTGTGGGGCAGCCGGGAGTGCCCCATTCTGCTCTCGGGAGCCTTTTGCAGCCCCTCCCCAAGGCAGGGGAGGGGGAGGGCGAGGGCTAGCCTCCGCGTTCCCGGGGAGGCTGGCCCTGTGGCCAGGTAGGGTGGCGGGTGCGAGGCAGGCTCCTGGGGCCGTGCTCCGTGGGGCAGAGGCGAGGGCGTGAGGGGCAGGCTGCAGGGATGCCCGCACGTGTGTTCAGTGTGCAGCAGGGTGAATTGGTCGCGCTCTTAGGAAGCATCCACCCCTTTCCTTCTAAGGAGTTTTTTCCCCGAGCGCTGTGTTTCTCTTGGCTTTTTTCACGCTTTCTTTTTTTATCCTCTTTCCAGTCCATTTGTACCCTCGGGGAGGGGGGGGGGCTGCATTTCCTGCCCTGCCCTGCTCCCGGCAGCGTGCCCTCCCCTCGCCGGGGGCCAGGGAGTGGCCCCGGTGCGCTGGCTGCTCCCTGCCGCCTTCTCGCCTTGTCCCTGCCCAGCCATGCTGTGGAGGTGGCCCCCGGCGCTGGGGAAGCTGATCTGGCCAAGGCGTTGGCTCCGCGGGAGAGCGGAGTGCCCGAGCCAAAGGCAGGCTGCTTCCACCCCCGGCCGGTGCTGGGATCCCCTTCCTCACAGCACATGTGCCGAGCGGCGAGTTTATTGGTTGGCGGCATTGGTGTGTTTGCAAGCCCAGCCACGGCGAAAGGCTTGATGCTTCCCAGAAGCGTGAGGGGCCGCAGCCAAGCCATTCCCAGGTGGAGCGGGGGGCTCGCCGTGCTGCTGGGGCAGGGGGCTGAGCCCACACTGGGGCCACAGGTGCCACCCTAGCCCCTCCTGCACTGCAGTCTCTGGCTGTTGGAGAGGTCTTCGTGGATGTCACCTGGCTGCAGGGCTGGGGTGTGAGCCTTTCCTCTCCTGGTGCACGTGGCTGGGTCCTGACGGGGTGGTGGGGTTGGTTTGGGGGTGCAAGGTGCCGGTCCCTGCTGCAGCAGAGCCTTGGCGCTCTCTCCAACCCCAGCACAGCAAGGGCTGGGCAGGGGCGGAGGTTGTTGGGCACTGGCAGCGGTGGTCCTGCTTGCTGCAGGGCTGGGGCTCTGTACCCTGTTTCTCCTCTCTGTGAGGAAGAAGGGGTGCAGGTGATCCTGCTCCGTGGGAGCTGGGGCACCCCGGCTCAGGGATCTGTGTGGGAAGGGTGGCCTTGCCAAGGCAGAGGAGGGCAGCGTGTGTGTGTGCTGGGAGCAGGCGGGATCTGGCTGCAGCTGGTTTCCCTGAGAGGGGAACAGAAGCCTGCAGAAACCTCTGGCATCCCACATGCGGCTCCAGACCCCTGTGGTACCCCTCCTCTCGCTGCTCTGTGCTGGGGGCTCTGCGCTGCCAACGCAGCCGCACTCCTTGCCGGCTCCCCACACACCTCCGCTCCGCAGGAGGCTGGCGGAGGGGCTGTGCTACTCTCCACCCCCTTCCCCGGCTCTAAAAGCAAATCTTTGTTCTTGTGGAGCTCTGGCTGGCGGCCGGCTGTCCGCCAGCCAGATGGAAAGGCATGGGGGCTCTCCTCCTTTCCCTGCTTGCTTGCTGCAGACGTTCTTTCCAGATCTCTAGGTCTCCTACTGGAGCTGTGCCAGGCGCTTGGGGTGCACAGTGCAGGCTGGAGCTCAGCTCTGCAGCTGGGCTGCTCCACACGTGGCCGATGGGTGTCCAGCCCTGCCCAGGTTCCCCCACCGAACCGGGGTCTGCAGCTGTGCTGGGCCCAAGAGAGGATTGCCATGTCCCCAGAGCCTGCTATGCCAGGGTGCCTGCACCCAGTGTCTCTATAGCCTGCCCGCTCACCTGGCAGGCTGTGGGGTCTTGGAGCTGCAGGAGGAAGCCTTGTGTCCCCAGGGTTGTGGGGGGCCTTGTGCCCCCAGCTAGCTGCACTTGAGGTGTCGCTGGGTGCTCCTTTCAGCCTGAGGGAGGACTAGTATCCAGCCTGCCCCAGAGGAGGTGGGGAGCAGTGAGCCCTTATTGCAGGCAGCGTGGGGGCTGCAGCATCCACGTCCACCTCCTCAAGGGCAGTGGATGGGTGGGAGGGATGTGCGCCTCATGCCAGCCCCAGATGCCAGCCATTCTCCAGCTCTGAGCTCATGGTTTCTGCTGCTTAGCTGCCTGGATGAGGGCTCTCATGCCGAGGGGGTCAGCAGGGCGGGCCAGCAGCTCTCCCTCTCCCAGGGGCTGGCTCTGCCTGGGGCTCATGCTGAAGGTCTAAAAGTATTGGGGAGGGCAAAGCCTGGCTTGGCTGCCTGCAGCCCAGAAGTGTCAGGGCTCAGGGGAGGGTGCAGGGGGCCAGCTGGGGTGCACCCCAGCCCCAGGCTTGCCCAAGTCTGCAGGTGCTCAGCTGCACCAGGCAGCCAAGTCGTGGCCGTGCAGGTGGGCAGGTGCCTCCGGTGCAAAGTAATCTGTTCCTGTGTGTGCTCAGTCCAGTTTCCTGACCCCAGTGCATGCTTATCTCTGGGGCTTTCACCTGTTTTTCTAGCACCTCCTTTCCTGTGCAGTGCTTTGCTCATCCACCTTTGCTTAGTGCCAACTGTGCTGTGCTGCTGGGATGGGTGAGGACCACAAACTGGCTGTTAGGGTGCCCCGGGGTGGCTAGTCTTGTGAGCCAGGGCTTTTGCTGTGGCACAAGGGCTCCTGGCTGCATGTTGAGGCTCTGCCACTATGTACCCACTCCAGACAAAGAGTATTTTGTGGGCACGGCATTGCCCTTTGAAGTTGCCTCATTTGCGAGGCTCTGTGACTGTTACCAAGCACTACTATCAAGGGAGCTGTTGACACAGCTGGCTTCCTCCAGCCTCTTGTCCCCAGCTCCCATACCTGGGCTGGGCCGTGGGTGCCCAGCCGGCTGGCCCTGTTGCTGGGGGACAGACCGCTGTCCCCTCCTGCAGGGCTGCCTGCCAGCCCAGGGGATGCAGACCCCCCCTGCTTTGGCACCTGCAGGGCTGGCGGCGATGGCACTCCCAGCGTTGCTGTGACGCAGCCCTTGTCTCTGCCATGCCTGGCTGGGGCTGTTCTGCCCCCAGCCCCTTGGGAAGCTGCTCTGTTCCCTGTCCTGGATCGATAGCCATTACCTTCCCATGCTACTCTGGAGCGTGGCCAGGAGCTCCATTACCGCTGCAGGCGAGCGGGCAGCTGGGCTGGGAGGGAAGGTGGGGTGCCAGGGTGGACAGGCTCTGCTCAGCGGGGATGCGGATCCTTGGTGCCACCCATGCTATGGGCAGGCAGTGCTGGGCTTGCTTTATGGGCAGGGAGCAGTGAGGAGCTTGCCTTCGGTACGCTGCAGGGGTGGATGCTCTGACTGCTGGGTTCTGGGTTGCTGTCCAGGTGGCAGGGTCAGAGTTTGGAGAGGGACCTGGGAGTCCCAGCTGCACCATGGCCGTGGTGGTCAGGGGCATGCTGCCTCCCCAAAGGGCTCTGTTGCCTTGAAGGGAGCAGCAGGCAGCTGCAGCTGGCTGGGGCACCCCTCCTGAGCTGCTGCTCTGTGTGCCCCATCCCACTGCGGAGGAACACAGCGCCTCATTCATGTCCCAGCTCCCGGAGCCGCTGCAGGGGCCACACAGGCTGACGTCAGGGCTCTTGTCCCGGGCCACGGGAAGGTGCAGCCTTTGTGCTGCCAGCTTCAGTCTCCAGCACCCAGTCCCTTCCCCTGCTAACCTCCTGACACATCCTTGCCTGGCCCTTGGGGCCAGTAAGGTGTGGTAGGTGCTGGTCTGGGATGCTGGCTTGGACTGGAGGTGTGGATGTGTGCTCCGGACTGTGAGGGGGATCAGCACTACCCTGGGCTCAGATTAAGGCAGCCAGCAAGGCGATCTGTTTGCTTGTGGGCTGTGGAGACACAGCCTCTTCGCTTACCCATCCCCGGGCAGGGTGCAGCTGCTCCCCACCTCGGTGGTGTGCAGAGGGATTTGGGGGCTCACAGGCCCTGCTGCTCATTTCAGCAAGGCTGGCATGCCATGGGGAGGGCAGGTCTGGCGGGGACTGCAATTGCAGTGGGGTGGGTGGTTGTCTGCCAGTGTCCTGGGGAGACTGGTGGTGTGAGCACGGCTTGCCTCTCTGGGAACAGGGTTGGTGGCCTGAGCCCACGGGCTCTCTGTGGATGCAGAAGGCAGTGTGGTGGCGGGAGCGGGGCTGTGCTCCTGGCTGGCAGTCCCACTGGGCTGGAACGTCGTGCCTGGGGGATGCCGGCACAGGACACAGCTCTGCCCCGTGCCCTTTGGGGGATGGAGCGGGGACAGGCCTGGGCTCAGCTCTCTCGCTGGCTCAGACATGGGGGCTTCTCCATGCTTCCCGCCTCTGATGGGCTCTGTCCCACAGCTGCAGCCAGCAAGCTGGAAGTCTCCATGCCAGCAGTGGTTGAAGTGGAGAGTGGGGGCACAGCCAGGATCGAGTGCAACTTCTACATCCCTGGAAATGGTTCCTACACCTACATTAACTGGTCTTACGTGAGTGCTGGCCTGGGAGAGGAGTGGTGGGTGGTGGACTGGGGTAGCAGCTAGCCTGGGGCTTTCTCCCGGGCTCCCCATCAGCCTGGCCTCGACCCTTTGCCTTGCAGATTGACCGCAACAACCGGGTGAGGCTGTGCCGCATCACAGGCAGCGAGATTCTGGAGGAGAACGTGGACTACAAGGGGCGGCTGTCGGTGGGGGAGGACAACGCCCTCTCCATCAGCAGGGTGACGATGCAGGACGCCAGGACCTTTGTGTGCCAGGTCGGGGCGGGCAGCCACGGTGTGGGTGAGAACCGCACTGAGCTCCATGTCTACAGTGAGTGATGAGGCAGGAGGGCACCACGGCTGTGCATCCGCTCTGCGGGTCCAGCGGGGGATCCCATCCCTCCTAATATGTGTGGGGCGGCTTCTCTTTCCAGAGGTCCCCGAGGCCCCTGAGATTGTGGCCAACCCGGCAGGCATCTCTGTGCAGAGCAGTGACATCCCACAGGTGAGGATAGACCCCACACGGTGGGGAGGGAGGCTCCCAGCTGTGCCAGGCTCCCCTCTCCCCAAGGGGACACCCTGTGCTCAAGGCTCTCTCTGCTGCCACAGATTGCCCACTGCGTGAGCAAGAACGGCTTCCCACCCCCCAACATCACATGGCACAAGAACGGGGAGCAGCTGCAGCCAGAGGAGAAGAGTGAGTTGGATGGGGATGGGGAACCGCACCTGGCTGCTCGGGAGAGGAGCCAGGGCACTCGTGCTATCCAGGGCCTCGTCGGCTGGGGACTGGCAGCCTGTGGCAGCCCAAAGGAGCTGTGTCCTCCCAAGGGAGCCCTCCTGTCTCCCGCGGGCTGGGAACAGCAGCTGTGTCCCCTGTAGTGGTGAAGATCCCGGCCACGCTGACCCGCGAGTCGAGCGGGCTGTACACGGTGAGCAGCACCCTCTTTGCCCACGTCACCCGGGAGGACCGCAATTCCCTCTACCACTGTACTGTGCACTATTGGCTGCGGGGACAGAGGCATGCTGTGGAGTCGCGGCGAGTCAACGTCACTGTCTTCTGTGAGTCGGGGGCTGGGGGCTGTGCCCGCCGCCCAGTGCTCCGTGGCGGGGCTCCGCACTGACCCTTCCCACTCCCTCCTCCCCCAGACCCTGCAGAACACGTGAAGCTGCAGGTCATGCCGTCCTCGGCACTGGTGAAGGAAGGGGATGACGTGAAGCTGGTCTGCGAGGCTGACGGGAACCCAGCACCGGTCTTCAGCTTCTATAAGAGAGGGGTGAGGCCAGAGGGGACCTGGGCACCTTTCCCTTGGCAGACATCTCATGTCCTGGCCTGTTCCTTGTCCTTTGCCTGGAGGGCCCTGGGGAGTGGGGTGCAGACGCTGGAATGGAGGGTGCCTGTGTGGGACTAAGGGCTCTGCTTTTTCCCCACTGCCTGCAGCTGGAGGACAGCTGGCAGGACCTGTCATCACTGGCAGACACCAACAGTGGCGTGCTGAACCTGCATGATGTGAAAAAGAGCAGCAGCGGCCTATACAGATGCCAGACCCTGGACTTGGATGATATGAGACAGCTAGAGAAGGATGTGGAGCTTGTTGTGAACTGTAAGGCGGGGAGACGGGCCCTGTGGACCTTGTGGTGAGTGCCTCGTCCCTCCTGCTCATCCTGCCCTGGTCTCCATCCCTCTTCTAGACATTGAAGGGGTCCATGTGAAGATGGAGCCGTCTTCACCCCTTCAGGAAGGGGATAGTGTGAGGCTGAGCTGTGATGCCCACAGCCCTGTGGCCCTGGACTACCAGTGGAGGGATGAGAAGGTGAGCAGGCATTCAGGTACTGTCGCGCTCAGGCTCAGTGAGCCTGGGCTTTGCAGCAAACTGAGCAGAGCCAGGAGCTTGCTCTGTCTTTCCTGAGAGGGGACAGGGGTAGGATTCCCCCTTCCATGGACCTGTATTGTCCATCTCTACCTCTTCACCTCCTGTTCAGTACCGCAGGGAGGTCCTGTGCTTGCAGGATCCCTTCCTGTGCATAGGAGGGAGGGCTTGAGCCCCTTTGGGACAGCTGCAGAGCCTGGGGAGCTGGGCACAGAAGGGCCTGGTGCTTGGGGCTTATTGCTGGGGGGTATCCCTTCCCAACAGGGCAGGAAGGTTGGAGAAGGGAACCAGCTCTTCCTGAGCAACCTCACCTTCGAAACCTCCAGCAACTTCAGCTGCAAGGTGATTGCACCAAGCGTGCCGGGGCTGGAGCAGAGCAAGCAGGTGGCTGTGGCTGTTCAGGGTAAGAACTGGCGTGTGTGCGGACGTGCTGCCCTGCCAGAGTGATGAGGCCTGTCCTGCCCAGCATCGGCCCTGATCCCCTTCCCGAGAGCCACAGGTCCTTGATGTGCCCTCCCCACAGGGAAGCCGCGGATTGTCGCCATCAGCTCCCCGCTGTACGTGCGGCAGGATGAGGTGGTGAACCTGACCTGCAAGGCCATTGCTTTCCCCAGGCCTTCTGTCCACTGGAATGTCAACGGGACGGTGAGAGCTGGGGAGGGTGCTGGGTCCAGGCCGTGGTCTCTCAGAAGGGCTGTGCATTGCCTCGGACACTGAATCCCTTGCTGCCTCCCTGCCTTGCAGGCTCATGAATACGTTGAAAATCAGCACATCGCCAGCAACCTGACAGTGCGTGTGAACCATGACCTGCTGCGGGCGGGAGCCATGTGCAGGGTCTCCAATGCGCTGGGTATCAGTGAGAAGCACATCCAGCTACTGGGTGAGTCTCGGGCACTGCCCTCTGCCCTGGGAACCCAGAGAAGTATTAGTCCCCCTCGCACAGGCGCTGTGTGTGCTGTGCTGCCGTGGCGTGGCTGAGCTCTGTCTCTTTCCTTCCCTTCCCGCTCTGCCAGTGGAGTCCATCAGAAAAGGTAAGTCTTTGCACCATGCTGGGTGCGTGCATCCATCAGCCCAGGGTCTGGTGGGAGCATGCCACCAATGGGAGTTACGCTCACTTCTGGCCTGGGGAGGGAGCCTTGGCTGCTGGCTCTTGCACTGCATCTCTTACTGCTCCCCTCTCCCTGCCAAGCTGCAGGGGCCAAGCTGCGGCTCTGTCTCCACCTATTTCTGCAGCAATGTGAAAGCTGCCTGCTTGTCCTCAGCCTGTAGCCTAGTAAGGCCATCAAGGGCAGCTTCCTGAAGCTCAGGACCGCTGGGCAAGGAAGCAAAGGAGTGGCCTGATGCCTTTCAGGAAACCCTGGAAGCCATCTTCCTATGGTGCTCAGGGGCATGGCAGCTGGGAGCAGAATGCAAAGTTTATTCATACAGAAACTGCCCTAACGGAGCGTCTTTGTACTGACATCTGCATCCTGCAGGGGACTGGAGAAGCACTGGGAATTGGAGTCCCCCTGGTGCTTTCTTGGGGGAAGGGGTGCTTTCCTTGCCCCCAGGGGGGTGCAGTAATGCAGAAGTTGGAGAGCATCAGGGTGGAACAGGCATTAACTTCTTTCTCTCCCATTGTGTTTAGATCAAAAGACACCAGAGAGCAAAGGGGTGATCATTGTGGCGATCATTGTCTGCATCCTCGTGGTGGCTGTGCTGGGGTCTGTCATCTACTTCCTCCACAAGAAAGGCAAGATCCCATGTGGCCGCGCTGGGAAACAGGACATGTAAGCACTGCCGCCCGCCCTCCCAGGGAGCCCCTGGGGCCAGAGGTGCTTGCCATCACTCATGCTTCCCATCTCATTGCACCAGCCGCTCCCTGCCCAACACGGAGGGAGGCAATAGTGCAGCCTCAGGGGGCACTGTGCTGGGGTCTCAGCAGTGCTTCCAGCTTCCCACAGCCTGGGGTCTGCACTGCTAACCCTGTCCATGCAGCGAGGCGATGAGGAGGACAGCAGAGTGGTAGAGCAGCCAAGGGACCCCTACCCAGGGAGGGGCTGGGCAGCCCAAAGCTTTCACTGAGCCAGAGCCTCTTTCACCTCTGGCCCTGCTCCAGAGCATCCCCTGAGATGGAGCCCCGGGGCTTGGCCTCATTCATCTGGCCACGTGCCCTCTTTGGTATCGCAAACATGTCTCAAAATTGTCACCTCCCTCCCCTAGCACAAAGCCAGAGGCACGTAAAGACAAGATTGTAGTTGAAGTTAAGTCAGATAAACTTTCCGAAGAGGCGGGGCTCCTGCAGGGTGCCAACGGCGAGAAGAGACCTGCCGCTGACCAGGTAGGACAGAGCGTCGTGTGCTGCCATTCCCTAGAGAAGGGCCGCTCCCGGGGCTGGGAGCGGAGGTGAGGAACGTAGGGGGGTGCATCAAGGTAATGCTTTTCTCCTCTCTGCAAGCTCCTCTCCCAGCACTCCCCACCCTGCATGGGCATCCATCATCCATCATCCGTGCTCAAGGGGGGCCGTGGGAGAGAGGGGAGGTGACAAAGCCATGGCTCTCTGCTCCAAGGGTGCAGGAGCAGCCCTCCCCTGCGCACATGCAGCTCTGCTCCGTGCCAGCCCCTGGCCCAGCCTGCTTGGCTCTGCCTCCTTCCGTGCTCCCTGGAGCAGGAGCTGGGCTCCCTGGGGGCTCTGGGAGAATGAACTATGTAAACATCTCTGGCCAGGAGTCAGAGCAGAGGCTGTAGGAATGGGCCTGCTCTGGCATCTCTGAGCCAAAGCTCTCAGTGTAGGATGAGATGAGTCTCCTGGGCCATGTGGTTTTCTCTCTCACCTGGTGTTAATAAAACCTGTAGGCTCGAGCAAGTATTCACAATATTGGTGCTGGACTGTCACTGTACTAAGGCAGGGCTTGTGTGTCTTGCAGAGCCATAGGATGGAGCACCTGAACACATTGCAGTTTTATTTGCCTTAGGCCAAGAGATAACCCTACCCTAGTCCTGCTGCCCTTGCAGCTTGCACTCAACCCTTGCCCTGGGTGGATGCTCAGCCACTGCAGGGTGGCCTGGGCCAGTGGCTCTCCCCCATCACATTGCTGTCTGTCACACAGACACCTGAAGCGGAGGACTTGGTTTTATGTTCACTTCTAACTATACTTTTTTTCCCCCTCCTTTCTGTTTTGGTGGACTGAAGAGCGAGAAATACATCGATCTGAGAAACTAGAGAGGGAATCTACTAAGTGCTTTCTTCCTTCAAACCTTTCCTGCTCTTGGATTGCCTTGTCCCACCCCTGCTCCAGTACCTGGGGAGCATGGCCAGAGACGATTACTGCATCGCAGTGCTGAGCCCCAACATGTGGAGGACACCCCCTGACTCACCTGTCTGTTACCTCAACCGTGGGCTTGCAGGTTGTCGACTTAGCAGCAGCAAAGCTGGGCTTGCTTACTACTACAGAGAGGCCAACAGCAATATTAGAAAGAAATATCCCATTAAGCTACCTGGTGGAAGGTTTTGAGGCTTTTTCAGGAGATTGTCCTGTATGTGTGTGGGAAGGTTTTGATGTGTTTTACCCTAAACTTGCTCAGAAAAGCTGGTGAAATGTTACTTTTACTTTTGGGATGTCCCAGGCACCTTAGATGTAGCGGTGTGCAGGTTAGATGAGCGAAGAATGGAAGTGGTGTGTTAGAGCAGTGTTTGCCAGCTGCTGGGGAGGTGTTAGTGCTTTGCTTTTTCTTTGAACTGTTTCTTGTCTTGTTGGTTTAGCCCAGCAGGTCCTGGTGGTGCTGTGCAGGTAGGGAGCTCCATGACGGGTAGCTGTGATCCTACTGGAGGCGAGTACCTGGCAGAGCAAGAACAGGGGCACCCATCTCTCGGGCACATGATGGACCAAGGGCTTAGGTTCTCTGGTTTGTAGCGTAGCCTTGCTGATGTGAGGGGGGGGCTTTCCCTCTCCCCACTCCCCAGGGAATTGGATTGCTTTTGGGGGGGGCTGCACAGCCGCTGGCAACAGCTGGTCCCAAAGCCTCCCCCAAATGTAAAACTAAGGAGTACTAGGCCAGGGCCAGTTGGTGATGTCTCAGGGTTTTTTTGTGCTGAACAATTACCAGCCCCAGGTAAAACCGATTTACTGCTGTGCTTCGGTGGCACCCCTGGCCCTACAGCCATGCTGGTGCTACAGCAGGTGAGTGGTGGAGAGGGAAGATGGCCAAGCAGCCTGCCTTTAGCTTCTGCTGCTGTGGCCTGTCCCAGCCCTCTGCTGGCAAATGTGGTTTGCTCTCCTGCCTTTTCCTAGAGAGATCAGCCCCCTGCAGCCTCTCTTTTCCCCGAAGTCACTACTCTCAGTGCTATGCTGTCCACAAGCCTATGTCCCCCCAGCCCTTGGGCAAGGGGCTGAGGCTAACCCCAGGTGACAGGAGAGGTGTCCCCTCATGCACCCCCAGCATCCTCTGCTGGTAGCAGGGAGCTGTGCAGCAGCCCAGCAGCCAGTGCCTAACAAGCAGTGAGCTATACTCATGAGCTACAAGTGTTGTCGAAGCAAAAGCTTTGGTTTATATATATTTTTGTTGGATTGTGTGTAAATTTCCAGAAGTTTTGTCTGATACTTGCAAGGTTTTTTTTATATATGTGAAAATAAAGTACAAAGTTCAAAGCCTGGTTCTGAGTTTGTTCCTGCTAGCAGCTGCCCCATGAGGAAGGTAAGGGCAGTGTGTCTCCCCTGTCCCTGCTCAATTTCAAGGCTCCCTTCCCCAGGAGTGGGCTACCAAGGCTGACACAGTGGCACTGCGCACTCCCACCTTTAGGTTTGCTTCCACAACAGCGGGACTTTCAGCTAGGAAACGGGCTTAAATAGCAGATGAGTGTCAGCTCAAGCCTCTGGCACTTGGGACACCACTGAAGGTTGCAGAGAGCCTGGTGGCTGCTGCCCCAGGGTCTCGGCCCGGCTGCTCTCAACAAGGCACCTGCAGTGGCCCATGCTGCTGTGCTGTGGCTTGTGCCAGAAATGGCCCTTTGTTTCCCAGGTGAAGCCAGCAGAACAGCGTTGGCTTAACCTGCCTTTGCACTGTGGCTAGGGCAGGAAAATGTGTTCTGTTCACTGGTAATAGACAGTGCTGTTAACAGGTGGTGGACAAGTCTGATACCAAATACTAAGAGGTAGCAGCAGGTAATGGCTAATGGGTTGCAGCTAGCTATTAGTCAAGAATGCTGTTGAGGTTCTAACAGATGACATGTTTATACCCCCTGTAGCTGGTAACAGATAATTCTATGGATTCTAATAGGTGATTTCATTAACAGCTAATATGGACACTAATAACTACCAATGCTTCTAAATCTACTAATGTATTCTAAGAGATAGTTGTAGTATTAGATTGTAATATATAATTATATTACTAGTGATGGCAGATACTAAAAGGTAATACTGTCAATAGACTTCAGTAAATCCTAACAGTAGAATCTATTAGATAGTTGTATTAATAGCTTAATAAAGATACTAATAACTACTTATAGATAATAGATTCTAATAGGTAACAAGACATTATAGTAGATAATTGATAGCTACTATAGATACTAATAGATATTAATGGATTTTTCCCTTAAAGAATTCTAATAGATTATAACTGTTACTCATATATTAGGTACTCTAGATCCTAACAGATAATTCTTATTGATATAATCTAACAAATTTTAATTAGTAATTGTATTAATAACTACTATAGATACTAAATACAAATAGGTAGTTAATTTATTAGATGCTAATAGTAATAGCTTTTAATAGATAATTACAATAGTACTAATACAGATATGAATAGATAATTCTGTTAAAAGATTCTGATAAATTGAGACAAAATTATATGGCTAGCTATTAAGTGTACTAATAAGACATTCCATTCATGAATTCTCATCAGTCTAATAGATAATTGCATTAATAACTACTATTGATAATTCTATAAGTAGATTCTGTTATAAATTCTACTAGACTATTTTATTTCTGGCTAATATAGATACTAATAACTACTTAATGAATAATAGTATTATTAGATAGTGGTAGATTATCAAAGAAAATCTTATTGCCAGCTCTTGTAGATACTAATAAACTGACAAATCTACAACTACATTCTGATAGAGTCTGATAGATAATTTTAGGACCAGCTACTGTAACTGCTACTCATAGATAACTATTGTTAGAATCTAATAGGACTATGTATTAGTATCTATAGTACGGAGTAATAAGTAGCTATTTCAACCTATAAAGTATCTATTATTTGAATCTACAAGAAAACTTTCCTACTCGCTGCTGTAAATGCTTATAATTACTAATAGACCATTGTTTTAATAGAATAAATTCTAAAAATTGAAATACTATTAGTAACTATTAGTGTCTACAGTAGCTGTTAGCTGATAGCCATAATATTCTGGTCTATTATAATCAATAAACAGAATTGCCTGTTAACGATAGCTACTATAAACACTAATAATAATAAAATCAACTCTTGTAGTGGATTCCAGTTGATACTGATAACTAATGAATAACTCTATTAGTAGCTTCTGTAGATACTAATACTCATTGATAATTGCAGTATTAGAATCTATCGAGTTCTAACAGAATTGTTTTACTAGCTATGATAGATACTCATAACCCCCTAATAAATAAATCCAATCTGTTGCACTGTTATCTGACTCTATAACATAGCTATGTGAACAGGTAGGGTCAATGATAAACACACTAACAGACAACTGTGTCAATACACTGACTTGTTAGAATCCATCAGACAGCACTAGCTAACTGTACTAACACCTCCAATAGGTCGTAATAACCATGGATCAGATACTAAGACATAGTTCACATTATGGATGACACCACAGGACCCCGTGTGACCCATCTGATTCCTCTGACTCCATTTAACTAGGTTGATAGTGCTCGATACCAGAAACCCCATGTGCCCCCCATGTGACCCCAGTTCATATTATTTAACCCCTGTTATGCTCCTTTGATCCCCATGTCTTCATTTGACCCTGATTAACCAGACTTATCCCATGGTGACTTCCTTGAGGGGTTCACTCAACCTCAGTTGACCCCCATGTCCTCATTTGACCCCAACTAATCCACAGTGAGTCTTTGAGGTGTTCACTCGATCTTGACCCCTGTGTCCTCATTTGACCCCAATTAACCTCATTTAACCCCACAGTGACATTGAGGGGTTCACTTGACCTCAGTTGACCCCCATGTCCTCATTTGACCCCAATGTGACTTGTCTGAGGCATTCCCTTGACCACATGTGACCTGTGTGTCCTTATTTGGCCCCAAGTAACATCAGTTAACCCCAAATATCTGGGGGGGGAGCAGGTCAGGGCTGGTCAGCTGGGTCAACTTGTCCTCAGGCCTATTTCATTTAATAGACCCCCCAGGCTCTAGAGTCCAGAACCTGCCAGACTCTGCTGGATGCTATAGACTCACCAGACTCCACCAGTGTCTATGGAACATGATTCAAGGCTGACAGATTCTGTTAGAGCCTCACAGGTCTTGTCCTCTGTCATATACTTGCACAGGCCCCCCCCAGAGTCTCACAAACTCCGGCAGGGTATATCGGACTCCAACAGCATCTAACAGATAAACCATCCATATCCAGCAAACAGTAATGTTATCTATTTATAAAGGATATATAATAAATCCAAAATTACATACATGTAATGTATAATTGCATTCTACAGTTGTGTAATATACGTAATTACAGAAATGCTATGCAGTTATAAAAGTTATTTAGAGTCTATAGTAATGTACTAACAGACTCTGTGAGAGGCAAATGGAGCCTAACAGACTGCAGCAGAGTGGGACTGACGCTTCAGGATCTGCTAGACCCCAACAGACACTGCAGAACCCATCAGACTTTACTAGATTCCTATGGACTCCCTTAGACTCTGTTCATGGATGTTAACAAACCCATTAATGTCATTCTCAGACTCTAATATGTCCTGATGGATTATAGACTCTATTAATCAATTCTATTAGAATACGTTAACTCTATAAATACGACTTATTAGTATAAACTTTATATAAATCTTTCCTGCCCTCTATTTGTTAGTATCCATGATACGAATTTCAATTTAACAGATAATTGTGGTAAGAGTTAAAATAGCGACATCTCAGACTTGGGCACCCTGAACAAGATGACCGAGACAAGCTTGAGCAGGATATCCTTTTTCCAGGGCTCACAGAACCAACACAACACAGACAATATGCTACAACAAAGGAAATTTTATTTAAAAATAAAACTTTGTTTTGTTTTCTTTTTACTGACACAGGTGAATGAAATCCCAAACAAAGAAGCTCTTAGTGGGCAGCATACAAGAATGAAAACAATTAATAAATAACATTAGTATAACCTCTAAACATTAACAATGCATTTGCAAACAAAATGAGGACTTTAAACCAAGTGAACCTTAAAGCTCAGCTACTCTCTGTAAGAATATTTACCTTCTGTTTTTCCTTATTCTTTACAGATCTGAAAGGATTAAATACTGCTATTATATTTTTATATTAATGACACTATTATATTTTTTTAAAATATTTTGTGAAAATCTCAACATTTTTAACACTGATATTATACAAATTGGTATTTGTCATTCAAGAGAAAGAACAACTGTTCCTCCCCCACTGGGAATTTCAAAAAAGATTTCTATTAGGAACTTTAAAAATAAGTGTCCTTATTCCCCACTAATTTTTAAAGTGGCACCTTTAAGAAAGTGCGCGGGGAGTTGCATTTTTTCTTGCTCAACTGAAAAAAAAAACATTTACAGTAATGACCCTGCCTCAGGATTAGCTACAGTAATGTAATCAGTCTAGTGCAGGAAGCAACATGCTGTACTCTGAGCCTATCTGGCTCCCCCAAGGTAAGGGCTCAGTGAAGGGCATGCAGAAAAGCTGTTTATAGTGAAAGCAAGTCCGCTGGATCCCAGCAGAGACACTCCATGCCTCAAGTTGCAGCACTTGCAGAGACAGACACGCAAGGGCAGTGCAGCAGACAAGTTTTACCACACCCCTGGCAGGATATGTCTCATTTCAGATTCCCATTCAGCTACAGTGGCATTGAACATACTAAGTCAGCCGGAAACCCTGTTCAGAACAGATGATACTTGCCTGCTTTCCACAGCTACCTGCTGCTTGCTGCGCAGAGACGCATACTGGTCCCACACATTTTGTGCCCAACTCTTACTGTGCAAAGTGTTTTCTGCTTGCTTTGTGTCCAGGGTTGACAGGTAGGGGGAAAACCAGCATTTTTTATGAGCAGAACTCGTATTTTGTTACAAACAAAACCAATCCTGTCCTACAATTCTACTGTCTTCACACCAAACTTAGTAAAGCACCAGTCCAGACAAGTCACTGTTAGTAACAGGTAAAGTAAAGTAGGAAACCTCCACAGTTGAAATGCTACGAAACACAGTGTCAAAGTTGAAGTGACAATTGCCCATCTTTCTTGCCCCTTCTTTTCACCCCTTTCAAAGCAGTCTCACGCTCAAAGGCATCTTTACAGCTTGTCTAGTTCGGGCTCTTCATTTTCACAGAGGGATGGATACTCAAATCCAGCCTAGCGATGCAGCATTCCCTTAAGAAAGGCACT